GTTCAATATGTTTCAGTGAGTAGTGAGTTATTAAAAAAAACGCCAAGTTACGCATTAAAATTGTTCAGCATTTTGAGCTTTTGGCAACTGTTTCGACCTTTGCACGACTATTACATATTGCGGATTCTGTCAGTGATATCATAAAGACTATGATCTCAACAAATATAATGTTGGGTTGACTGAGCATGATGATCGATTATAGATGCAATTAGTTGAGTTATTTTTTCGCATTACGCGTTCGTTTCACAGGAAACGTTTGCTAACAAATTGCATAGTGGTATCCTTGCAACGAAAAGTATGATGAATTTAGATATGAGGTGAGACTATCTCGACGTCACTGTCCGTACAACAGATAATTTAGAGCGGGTTGGATGAGGACAAAGTCAAAACCCTCAGCTCGCGAGAGTATCTTCATCTGATGAAGAGTGAAATGGCACTATGAATGTTCAGTTCGTTAGCGACTTGCTATACGGACGAAAACTATAATATTATGCGTAACGTAGATTGATTATCGATCGAAATGACCCCCTTGTGCAAGAAACCTCTATCGTGCAGGATCATGCGGTGAGAAGCTGAATTGAATGAACCAGTTGTTATGTTATTTCCATTGTCAAAGCGATCAATTATTGAGAGCATTTCTAGAACATATTTCCCTTCAACTTAAGCCGTTAACTTTGTTCCAGCAAGCGGCTAATTTCATTTCTTCTGTATCAAGAAGACACTTGGAAGGGTTAACTCTAAAATCCCAACCCTTTTGATGAGATATCTCACAAACATTAATTGATATGAAAATAAATGACTTTCTGACATCATCTCAGTCTGATAGGAAACTCGGTTGGTGATCGCAAAGCTATTGAACTATGACAAATGATAGAATATAAAATACTGAACACAGAGGCTCTTCCCCCCTGACTTGAAATCAACTTACAGCCCCTAGGTCTCTGAAAACATACGAATGATTTAAAAACATCGGACGACCTCGAGAAAGATTTAAGACAGAAACTAGTCAACGGTTGTACGTCTTCAATAAAAATAACACTTAATTCCGAAATGCACGACAACAGCACGTGCTCGTGACGCGTACTGTCTAAAGTCCTGTTTCTCTTATTGCTACAGTTTGGCTCGCATCCTTTTTTCATGTTCCATTTTTCCTCCGTGTTTTCTCCATTTACACAAAGTGAAAATAGTATTATGCATGAAATTAAATCCTTTCGATAGTAACCATTAATTCGTTTAATTCCGGTATAGAATGAATAAAGAATAAAAGCAGTACCTTTGAACTGCTGTAGCGTCCATCAATGTGCAAATTTGCTACAACCTGAGATAAAAAAAAAAGGAAAACAATTCTCCACATTGTTGCCAGATAGGCCAAAAAAGGCAAATACGCTGAATTTGTTCTTCATCTACACGTATCACCGCCCGTATTACAGCTATATCCTTGTCGCTAAATTAGATGCACTCGTCAGAGCGAAGGGCTAACACCTTGAAAGGTCAGCATTCCCTCTGAAGAAAGAGGTAACACTAAAAACGTCGGCTCTAAACTTCATTGTCCCTGGAGCTCACTGAAGGTGTTCTCATAACATTAAAACGCTTTCCAGCATTAAGGTGACAAGATGGAGAAATGATCGAACAGGGAATGCTGTTTGATTTAAAAACAACTTCTTAGTGCTAAAATTACCAGTAATCTATGGAGAGAATGCACAGAAATGATATGCATAGGTCTTGGAAAAAGAAGTGTCATCGAACGCTAATGTGTAAACAAGGAAAAACAAGGAATACATGAAAGAGCGGACATACCCACACAAACATGCTCACGATACAGTACATATACTACCATCATTTAGCGTAATCGTACTGTAATGCAATGATACAATGCTTTAATTTTTCCTTGAAAATTAAGCGTGTGGCAAATAAATCTTCCTGGCTTTCTTAACTGTGATTTTCTTTTTAATTGTTCTTTTTTAGCCCTTTTATCGCAAATTTGTTACTTACTATATTTTGATTTTAAAACCTTTCGACGCCTACATTTTTTTCCCGAAGACGTGAAACGACAGAGGTAAAGGAATGTTCAGAGATAACTTGACCTGAGTAATCTTAATTAGTGTCTTGAAATCTCAACTAAGTTTATTTCAAAACAACAAACCGAGATGTACAAAGTCAGCCATTAAGCTGAGCACATGGTTGTCTTCGCTCTGCGCATGTTCTAGTGTTACTTAGCAACAATAAAATAGGTCCGCACAATATCGACACAGTGAGAGAAAAAAACACACCTGCTCCCATACTATGAAACATTCGAATAGTTAATGTGCCATACATACACTACCTGTTTTCGCCTTCCTGTTTTCTCAACATAGGCATATCTTTATTTTCTGTATTTGCAGCAACGAGTTCGTTTCAGGAAGGCAAAATCTCAACACTAAGGATCTTCATGAATTGCAAGATTTTTCCAAAATAATAATAAAAAAAAGAATTGCATGCAATTTCTAAACCTCTGAATACCTTTTTCGTTTAATGCCTTATAACTTTATCTGGTCTTAGGATTTGAATTTAGGATAGCTCTCAAACATTGCATCGAATTTTCTTGTTCATCGTGAGTAAGTTCTCTTTAACCTTAGCTTTCTGCAACGTGTAATAAGCTTTAATTTGTAGTCATAATGTTGTGCACCAAAGCTGTCATTCACTGAGTGTTTCAATTAGGCTCCCACGCATTTAATTATCTTGATACGTGCTTGAAATGCAATGGTGTTGATTACTAGCTCACGTGTCACGCGCCAAAATACATTTCTCGATTTGCGAAAACTTTCTGGATTATGGAAAGATTCTTGGATTGTAAACTATTTTCGATTTTCATGAAAGTTATTTGTGGACCTATGAATTAAACCAGGATTTGAAATTGATTTCTCGATTTGACAAACTTGTCAATAGCGATTTGTCTAAGAAATATCGATTCTAAATATTTCTTTTGGATTTGCAAAATATTTTGGATTGTCCCTTTTCGGCTTCTGTAATTTCCCAGCACGCACAACTGAATGAAAATATCCAATTTGCGGTTTCTGATTAGGTTATGAATATGAGACAGTCCCAGGAAAAAAGATAATCGGAGAACCGAATACTTGAGTGCCACCATTAATGAAAAAGAAAAAATGAGAAATACGGTAAAGGAATTGTGCAAGGTGTAATAAGCTTTAATTTGCAGTCGTAATGATGTGCACAAAAGCTCTCATTCAACGAGCGTTTCGATGAGACTCCACGCATTTTGTTATTTTGATACGCGCTTGAAATGCTATAGATAAATAATTTACAACTGTTAATTTCCCAGCATGCACAACTTAATAAAAATTTCCAGTTTGTGGTCTCTGATTGGGTTAAGAGTATGGTAAAGTCCAAGTATAAAAAGATAATCAGAGAACAGAATACTTGAGTGCACAAGACTGTTGCATTCGTTCTCTTACGACAGACAAGATACAAGAAAGCGCTCACTAAAAAGGGAAATTTGGTTTCAACTCTCAAGCACAACTATGGGTCATTACATTTTCTTTTGCTCTGTGATTTTTATTACTCTGGTGGCGTTCAGCTAAGGTAAGCAGTAATACATTAGAGATGACTGAATTCATGGTATTGAGCATAGAGCTCTCCTACTGCCTCAAGCGAAAGAAATGCTGTACTTGCACTTTTCCAAAGGGGTCCCTGAGGACCAACGAAAACATGCAGTAAATCGACATCTGCATACAAGAAATCTTAAGGATGGAGGCGTTGTTAGAAATTCGATGATCCGTTCTTTTATCAAAGGCGATAAGAGCCGAATTCATAAACGAACAAACATTATAACTTACGCGTTTTGAGATGTAAAGCTAGTGTTAATATTTTGAGATTTTACATTGGAGAAAAAGCCAAAATGTAATTTATACCAATGTTGACGTGATATAACTTACTCGTTACGAAATCTCAAATTTGTTCAACCTAATACTGGCCTTACTCTTCTTAGAGCCTCTGTTTGTCTGTAACTGAGCTTCATAACGCGTAATCCAAAGGTCCGAGGCACTCTTATGTTGTCCTTACGCTCGTTAAATGACGAAAAAGGAAAACATATTTCTTCATTTTCACTGTTATTTGTAAAAAATTCGGTTACTTATTCAGTTCGAAAAATCTTATGTTTTTCATTGTCATTAAACCTATATGAAAAAATCCAATGATAAAGAAATAAAATATGAAGGCGCTTTACGAGTCTGTAATTTTCTCGTTGTTGATTACAAATCGCAAGCGAAGGAAATAAGAGATGTAAGCAATATGTTACTTTCAATGCTTAGGTCATTGCAATTATTGATCGTAGAAAACGTTCAGTATATTTCAGTTGGCAGTGAGTTGTTTACAAAAAAACTGCCAAGTTACACACTAAAATTATTTAGCCTTTAAAAGGCTTCTGGCAATTATTTCGGCTTTTGCATGACTGTTACATATTGATTCTGTCAATGATATCATAAAAACTATGATCTCAACAAATATAATATTAGGATGATGAAGTAGGATGATAGATATGGCTGAAATTAGTTGAGTTATTTTTTCGCATGACGGTTCGTTTCACAGGAAACGTTTGCTAACAAATTGTGTAGTGGTATCCTTTCAGCGAAAAGTGAGATGAATTTAGTTGAGACTATCTTGACGTCACTGTCCGTACAACAGATTATTTAGAGCGGCTTGGATGGGAACAAAGTCAAAACCCTCAGCTCGCGATGGTATCTTCGTCTTTGAATTGAATAAATGTTTTCGATCCCTTTTGTTTTGCCACGCGCTTTTGAAATAAAGTTATTCCACATTTAAATCTAACCCTTAAAATCGGTCAGCGCGAACTTACAAGTAAGCTTGTAAAAAGAGACTCACCGAACACTCCTGATTAAAAATCGGATAAAAATGGAGGTACTGATAATATATAACAAGAGTGATATTAAAAGTTCTGATATTGAAATAAACGAGTGAAAAAACAATATTACCCTTTATTTGATAGGTGCTGACCGTGAGGTTACTGTAACAGTAAATATTGAAGATAGTTGTTTTCTGCCGTGCTCTCCGTTCGAGGATCTAGAAAATATAACTATCGATTGGTACCGCTGCTCGCCCGAGAACGGGCCTTGTGATAAACACTGGAACCACATCCCGATAGTGCATGTTAAAAATATGACACAGAAAAATTTTTATTACCCAAACCTTGACATTTACCCCAACGGAACCTTAGTTATCAAGAAGTTACTACCTATGGATGATGGAGTAAAGTTTATCTGTTCTGCCACGAAGGATTATGTTGGGAGAAAAACGTTGATCACGATCCTCAATATTACCAAAGGTGATGTTTATAGAAGTGTTATATAATGATGATAATAGTAATAATAATGATAATGTATTCATGGTAATAACAATGGGAATTTAGCAGTGGGCAATCCACGTGGTGGCTTTTGTTGTCCACGGTTTCCAGGTCGAAATGGAATTTGGAATGTTGTTTTACTGGGAGGGGAAGGATAGTTGGAGAACCTTGTAAAAAAAAAAAAAAAAACGTAGTAAGGATGAGAAGCAACAGAAACTCCCTTGTAACGCCAGGGGACCGTTTATCGAGAGTCCTAGTAACTTATCGTGCCCTTAAAAGATTCTGTTTTTATACACATTGGGAGTTTCAACGGTTTTGAAACAAGTTTACAAAAAGACTGTCAGCGCAAAAAGCAAATTGAATTGGTAAGTGTACCAGAACCGCTTCTCTGTTCTTTAAATTTTGATATTAAAATATGGCTTTTAGGCCTTAAACTTTGCAAGACATTTTGGAAAGAGGCGCCAGGTCCAGGAAGTAATTACGGGCCACAGTGATGGGAGGCGAAGGCTCCCACTACTGTGCAAGCGCCATCCTTACTCCGCACTTTCGTTTAGTTAATCGTATCACTTTGGACACTGTTTCTTTGCAGCTTTACTTTTTTTTTTACTTTTACTTTTTTTTTAGCTGAAGGAATGTAAATTTTGATTTTTTTTAGGACCCCCAGAATTAATACCACTGTGTCCTCCAGTGATTCATGTCATTGAAGGAATGGATCTTCATATAGATGCAACAGTGCATGGCTATCCTTACCCTTGGGTAACCTGGAGCCATAATAAAGTTCTCATAGGGAATAAATCGATTGAAAATAACGAAACAAGTCATATCATTCGCAATGTTACCGTATATGAAGGCGGAAGTTACTCCTGTTTCGCCAACAATCGATATGGAGCTGTTTTGTTTACCGTAAACGTTTATGTTCAAGGTATTGATTTCATTCGCATTTAGGCAAGCTTCGTTAGAGTAGATGTAGCCTGTCAGGAAAGAGAAACAAAGGAAGTTTGCTGTTTTTGATATATTGTTATTATTATTAATTTTTTTCATTGTTCTTCGTGCTGTTACTTTTGTTTTGTTTTTGTTTTGTTTTTGTTTTGCTCGTTTGTTTTCCCTAATGTTCTTCTTTTTTCGTAAAATAGGTTGTGGATATTTATCGTGGTGACTAACAATAAAAGTTAAGTTTTTCGTTTGTCTCAGGATGTAGTCCCGTGTGATGTAGATCGCAACGTTTCGACTACATACTGCTAGTCTTCTTCAAGCGATGAGGTCGACTGGTCATGCGTGATTGATCATGCGACCTCATCTCCTGAAGAAGACTAGCAGTATGCAGTATCTACATCACACATGACTACATCGTGAGACAAGCAAAAAACTTAGCTTTTATTCTTCTTTTTTGCTTTGGTTTAATTATTTTTTCTATCTAAACCTGCTGTTTTAGAGAAAGGTTGCACACCTGCTCAGATGGTTCTAGATTTTTCTCCTCTGCATCCAAGTCAGAAGGTGATGACGACCGTAGCATCAAGTAAGTTCTCCCGCTCTTTAATCTTTCCAGATGACCCAAATCAAGGTTCCGAGGACCCCTCAGGCTCCACGTTGTAAACCAGCATCCGGATACGTTTTTTTTTCTCCCGAAGAGGGACTTGTCTTCATCAATTTGCTTAAAATCAATCAATTGCTAAATGTGATCACGTTCGAAGAAACTCGAAGAATATGGAGTCTTCGCTAAAAATCCATTTTGAGTTGGATGTCGTATTTGTGCTCTTAGAGAATGCTATCTTTGGAGTAAACTCAGCCCGTAGCAATGTATCCGATATCTTTTTTTAGTTTTCAACCACGTAATTTAATTCTTTTAAAGCTTTCTGTAAATTGCTGAATTTATTTCTGTTTCCCGCGTATTGATGACAAAAAGTCATGAATGGGAAATATACAGTAATTACAAGATTAACCTGAAAAAAGGAGAATTCAAGAAACGTTGAAAAGAACAAAAATTGGAGCATAACAAAACAACCACCATGGTTGAAAAATTTATCAATATACAGTTTAAGTCAACCACGGCATTCGATAGCAATACACAGACCGGGTGCAGCGAGGTCCGTACAAAAACGACCGCGGGGCAATATTCCTTAGTGCGAGTCGAGCAAGTAAGGTTAGTAAGAAGTTTATTATGTGACATTCAGCCCAAAATTTTTTATTTAAATTGCTGGCTTTTGAGATAGAAAATACACAGGTTATGACTCTTTCTGTGGAAACAGTTCCTATGATAAAATCCCAACTAATTTCGAACTCATCAGAACGCTTAGGTTCACCTAAGGCCTACGTTGCCATAAAATACAATTTTAGTTTATCCAAACTCTACCATCTTCGCTAACATCAGGCAAGTGCAATATGTCCTATTTCAATTTTCTGAATGTCGGTTTCGAGCAAATTTTAAACTGTGTCCAAACTTATTTAAGATTGCATTGATTTTTATCAATTCTTTTTTTCCCCACAATCAAGAAGTTATTTAATTTGTTACTCTGTTTCTACCCTCAGGTATCCCAAGTCCACCATCTTCACCAACTCCAGGTGGGTAAAATTTGTTATGTTTCAATGTTCTCAACGTCAGTTTTGGATCAAATTTTAAACTGTATCCAAACATATATAGAATTACATTGATTTTTATCAATCCTTTTTTTTTCACAATTAAGCAGTTATTTACTTTGCTACTCTGTTTCTACCCACAGATATCCAAACTCTACCACCTTCACCAACACCAGGTAGGTAAAATTTTTTATGTTTCAATTTTCTCAATGTCAGTTTTGGAGCAAATTTTAAACTGTGTCCAAACCTATATAGGATTGCATTGATTTTTATCAATCCTTTTCTTCTTCATCCTTTTTGTTGTTGAATTTTATCGAGAAAGCCTTGAATGAAGAATTACTTAACTTAACAGACTGGTGCTGAGCCAATAGCTTTCGATAAATATAATTAAATCAAATTTCATGGTTTTCAAACCAAGACAGAAAAGGGAAAAACTTAACGTTAAACTAGAGATTAACCAATGTACAATTAACCAAGAGTCTTCTATTGTTTTTTGAATTGGATATCCACGGTCTACATGAAACTTTCATTTTAGGCGTTGTATGGTGCTTTGACAACCTCTTTGTCATATTCATATGTAGGTGCCGCTCTGAATAACGATGGCTATTTCCACATTTTATGTTTAACTCCCTATCAACATCTGTTTATAATACGCACACTAAGCTCCTCGCGCTTTCCCTCGTCAGGGTTTTTGTGCTTTTTCTTTTTGTGTGTATGTGTGTGTGTGTGTTTTATTTTTTTTTATTATTATTTTTTTTTACCGTCCCTCAATGGGAGGATAGAAAATTTAATTTTTTTGATATTATTATTTTTGCCTTTTTAGAGACCCAAAGTCCCTCAGGTTCACCTCCCCCAAGTAAGTATACCTCTGTTGCTTTTCTTTTCTTTAAATGAGTTGCTCTTCTGGTTCTATTAGTCCAGCATGTTATAGCAACAACGTGGATATTCCAGGCCTTTTGAGCCCGCGATCACCTCACCTCCAGGTATAAACACCGTTGTCACTTAGAGAGGATCACTGCTTAAGCTTTCAAAAGGTTCTTTTTGTTGTTGATCTTGTTTTTTTGTTAGCTAAGATGCAATAAGACATCTTTTCTGAAGGTACGTGGCCAGAGAGAGTGGTGTAATTGGTTTCTTTGTTTCTATGTTAGCTTTTTTATCATGAAGAAAAGAAAGAAAAAGGCGAAAACTCGATCGTTATCTTTGCGAATTTAACCATTATAGCTGATTTCAGATGTTTCAACTGCTTTGGGTTTCTATCCAACTGTTCATTTTTTACCAACATTACTCTTTTTTCCCCATGATACTATTTTGCATAAAACTGAGGTTATTTCACTCTTACAACAAGGAAAATAGAGCCATAGCGATTTGTGTAACAAATACTTAAATCAGTAACAGCTTTCAGGAAGAGAAAGTTAATTTCTGTAACTAGCAGGATTCATCCTGTGGATGTTTAGCTATGTGAAAAAACATTTTCCCAGATTAAATCCCGTACGAGTAGAGCACACATGTTCCTTCCCTATTCACACAAAACGTTAAGCCACAATAAAATGTTAGCTATTCAATATGTAATATATTTGGAATTTCTGTGATCCACAGCGTTAAATAGTGTATCTACGGCCAACTGTGAATGCCCTTACTGGCTAATCTATGTCTTGGCTGCATGTCTCGTAATTGCTGTTGTGATCATTGCCTGTTTGGGGGTGAAGAGGCATATTGGGAGCAGCCAAGGTCATCGCGATGAAAGTCACCTTCAAAATGCTGGTTTTGAATTAGAAAGGAGGGATGACAATCAACCTGCCAATCAACCACTGAATTTAACCTAGAATGTATTCCAAAGAAAGAGAAGAGAGCGGAGCAGAGGCAAATGATGTACTGAAAGTCTAAACATTTGTCTTTCCACCAGTACGTAAATTCACCATATTAGGGCAATGGAACGCGCAAAAAATGCCACGGTATTTGTAACTGCTGTCTGCCGGGTTGGGTATTATCTAAAATTATATATTAGTGACGTTTTCAGATCATATTTCTGAACCTCGTGCTTTGTGGCTATATCGCGTTGTTGTGTTGCGAATCGAACGTTTTTTGAGTCGTCACTATTATGCGAGTTTCACTGTGTTCAGCCCCTATTATTCGTAGGCGTATGGAGAGAACAATTGGTAAGCATAGCTTTGTATTCCTTAAGTCACCAGGAACATATAAATGGTTTCTTTTGTATTGTTTTATTCTTCCGCGTGTTCCTTGATCAGTACGATGTTCAGACTAGACCGTACGAAGATTTTAAACCTAGAAGCCAAAGGACGTCCTTTCTTCGATGGTTTAACAAATAATGCGAGCTGATATTTTGCTCATTGCTCGTAATTTTCATCGCCCCTACGGGCTCAGAAAAATGCCACATAACTCGCAAAATATCTGCGCGTATTATATGTTAAACCATCGAATGAGGTGTATATATTGACTTTTTGGGGCCCTAGAGCAGGCTTTACATCAAAATATCACGGTTTTTAGTGTGGTTTTCACTACCCTTCCAATGTAGATGGAAGGAAAATTTAAATAATAGAACAAGTTAGCTTAAAATATCCTACTACGTAATCCTCATTAATTTTAATGTGGTAGTCGCCGACTTGGAAGTTTTTGCCCCATTGGCCACTGATCACTTTGCTCTTACGGGGGTCGTAGCCGGAATTTTTGAAGGGAAGTGGGGGGTTCACACGGTGTCAAACAGAGGATTCTCACCAGTTTTCGCCAGCTTAATATTAATATTAATATTAACCCTCCCCCTCCTTCCCACAGCTATGCCCCAGTCTCACTGTCTTATTAAGGTAATTTGTTATTTTCTTACTTTGTATTTTTCTTTATTTCTTTTTGTTTAATAATTGAGATTTATTTTGCTAAAATAAGTGTAATTAAATAAAAATTCACTACTGTCAGAGTAGGTGTGCATTGTAATACCTACTATAAAAAAAAGGTCAAGCTTTTAAGGAAACAAAAACAAAATACTGATAAAAATGACCTACCTTGCAGTTGTGTGGTTTCTCCAACTGTCTCTTCGTCTCCTACGCCATTTTAAAGGCTTTCTTGAGAGTTTTTATCATGAGTCTTACTGCCAATTAATTTACGACCGGAGGTGGAATAGCAATCTTGGATCCGGATGACCAATCAAAATATAAAAGTTCAGAGCTCCATCTATCCCACAAAACTGGTTCCGAATCCTCAAAAATTCTTGTCACGCTCCTCTTTTCGGGACGAGTCGCAGGAAGGGCTTCGGACTAAAGAAAAATAAATCTCAAAATAGACATTGTAACTTAAGATTTTAGCGAGAGCGGGGTTGCCGAATTAAAAAAAATGGTTTGTGTACTGTTTCTTAGTATGCGACACGACCCATTCCAGCCATAAAGATAGAAGTCAGTATCTACCACCAAAGGCAAACTGTATTCATGATGAAAGAAGAACTAGAACATCTCACTGTAGCCTGATTTCGCTGTGTTAGCGAGAAAAAAAAAATCTTCTAAAGGCATGTCATTATTTATCGCGGGGGGGGGGGGGTGGGTTCCAAAACTTTTGGGGGGGGAGGATCACATTGTTTTAAAGGGAACGGAGGAAAGATCCGTCGCTTCCAATAGATTTTAAAGGGGAAAATATAGAGTAAATCGACTGCTAAACCGGAGGGGATCATTACTTTAATACAAATCATTATTGGTGGATCAAATAAATTTCCTCGTAACACAACCAAAATCCTCCAATACTTTACTTTTCTGAGCTTACCCTGTTGTCAAAGGTGTCTAACACTGTTAAAAATACAGTAGCGGTTGATAACAGGCTTCAGTTTAGAACCCAAGTTGGTTGACAAACATTTAAGCACTTTCCCGATGCAGATTAACTTCCAGTTCAGTTGCATATATATTATTTCATCGAACGTTCTCTTTCCGATCGTCGACCAAGAGGATTCTGAGAACGAAACAGGACGTGTTCAATTTGAATTTGTTCCTTATTTTTGTCTTAACATTTCGTTGAAAAAAGACAGGAACCTGAAAATGATATGTGAACTCCAATGTCGCTATTATTTTATATTGGTAAAGACTTGCTCCAACTTTCACCATGATACGAAGTTAAGGTGCACCAAGTATGCGATTTTTCGGAATTTCCATCCCATTTCTTCCCTCTGGTTTCCCAACACCATAACGTTTTTTAAGGATAACTTAAGTAAATTCCATGATGCAAACAATTCTTGTGAATTATTGGGGTTTTCAGAGAATGGATGCACCATTTAATATCTAGCTACAGTAGCAAACCGACTGTCAGTTGGATAACCTGGCACTAATGGGTTAAACTTTCTGTATACTAGTAGGAGAACAAGCACACCTACTCTGTTGTACTCGATCCTTGAAAGGTAACGGCTTTTTTTCTGTTAAAAAAAATTTGTTGTCATGACTTCCTCGTGGGTGGCGTGTTCATGAGTGTTTTTGTCACGCGTGGTAATTAATACCGTAAGACGCTCAGCACAATTATTGAATGAAAGGACACAGTTTATTTTCTCCCTTCCATTGTGCCACTAGAAATACATAAGCCCTTAGTCTACCCCCTTAGGTCCAGATTGACATGGTCTTATATGCATTTGCATTCCGGGGAAATGCAGGGAAGTTTTGAAATACAGTAAACAGCAAACTGCATGTGTACCATGGAATAATTATTCTCAAACTCAGAATTGTCAAGTTTCTTCCCTTTTCTCAGCATTTATTGCCATTAGCATGACTGTTTTTTTCCACAATCGAGATAGTTGAACCTATATTAGTTGCATGCCTATAGACGCAATCATGCGTTTCTATCGTTTCTACCGGAATAAAGAGATTACTGCGTTTTCAAATGAAAGCTCCTTTTTGAAATCTCGCCAGCCGAACAGGATCGGGCCAAATGCTCGCGCAAACATAACCCTGTTAACCAATTAAACGAACAGATGAATTGATTGGGCATGACGATTTCCTGTTAAATAATCTCTGCTTCAATAGAAAACATACAAATACCTTGTCAGCTTCTTGTCTGAAGATAATTATGACATGAATAGTTCAATACAACCACGACCGTGACACACACGTGTCTTTATCAACACTATAAAGTGAATTAATAAAGAGATAAATAGAAAGATATATAGATGAGTGAAACATGCAATATTTGTTCCTGAGAAATACATTTCCTGATCTTTCATCTCATAAAATGGCCCTTTGACTTCAAATAAAAGAGGAAGTTGTGTGACTTTTTCTTTTTTGAAGTGAATGCTAATCTTAGTTTACACTTGAAATTGACTCACAGCCCCTGGGTCTCCAAGGTGACTGACATAAGAGTTATTAAAAGAATCGCACGACCACGAGAAAGATTTCGGACAAAACTTAGCCAACTGTTCTACGTCTTCAATAAAATCAATAGTAAACTCCGAAATGCACGACAACAACACATGCACATAAGGCATCCAGTCCAAAGTCCAGTTCCTACTCTTATTAAAATTGGGCTGATGAGAAACAATCACGTTGGAGATATTTGACATAGTTTTAATTGGAATGATGGATAGAATGATAACAATAATGATAATAATAATGGTAAAGATAGTTAAGATAATAATTAGCTCGTGTCTTTATCCCACCACAGAAACAAACGTGACTGCATAACAATTGAAGTATTAATTATCACGAAACAGGCATGTAGGATGAAAGTATAGTCTCTCAGTTTTTTCCCCCAACCGCAACATATTTCGCGCTCTACTCCCACGCATCGAGCACAGTAAAACGGAAAAAATATATATATAAATATATCTGAAGGTTGAACTAATCAATAAGACATAACTTTTCTGTGAAAGAAAAGTTATGTCTTATTGATTAGTTCAACTTTTCAGATATACCACGCTCTACGAACGCATCGAGCACTATATCGCAAGGATGTAGAAACTCTACCGAACTCAGCAAGCATATCTGGACCCTTAAAGAAAATAACATCAACCACGTTACTTCATGGCACACCCTTTCATCACGATCACCCTACAACAGCGCAAACAAAAGATGCAACGTCTGCCTCAAAGAGAAATTACTCATCATTCGCCGACCCGAATTATTATCGCTCCATAAAGGTATCGAGCACTGTAGAACGGAAAAATTAATACACAGACTTCCTATATATATATATATATATATATATATATATATCCCCAAATAGTAAGTACAAGATCATAGGAATCTTTGAAAAGATAAACAATGTATTGCTATAGATTAAAGATAACAGAAAACGCTGGTCAATTACATATTACATATTCAATGATATGCAAATTAAAGCAGATTACATAAACAACCAAATTAAAAAAAACCCCTAAAAAATTATAACAACTACTGAAGCAATATATTTAGACTAATTAGTAATGACTACATCATAACGATTGTGGTGACTGACGTTTCGACAACCTGAGCGGAAGTCACTCACAGACCTACTACTACTACCGAAGCTAACGACAACGCAACTCCTACGACCACAGCCACTATACCATACATAAAGGGCATATCTGAGACCATCTCACGCATCCTACAACCATTCAATATCCGCGTCTCATGCCTAATGCCTAACCTTCAGCACCAACTACTTTCAACGAATGACCTTGGAAAGCTGGTTTACTAACTTGGAACAGACTCCTCTCAACAGGTGTCAACCACTACCGGCACCATACAAACGACTCATCCACGACATTAACATTACAAACGAACCGAACAGAACGACCTAACTTCACTAACGGATCCAAACTGACCAATCACGACTGACCTACGCCACTTCAGTCTTACAGCCAATAACATCACGGCAAAACTGACCAATCAGTGTACACAAACCGGACTAAGTACATTCGACTGACAACAACCTTTCACTTGACTCTGATGATGACTTCCGCTCAGGTTGTCGAAACGTCAGTCACCACTGCCAACAACAGTCCTTCTCAGGACTACACTCACCCGGACGATCAAACTACATTATTACATGTTACCCCCGGGTTCAAACCATTTACTGTATGACAATTAATCAAAAGTAAACTTCTTCTTGTACTGTTGCTCAAAGGCATCAACTAATGGACACATGTCTCTGATGATATTATATACAGTTTTAATTGGTCCAAATAACTCTCTTAACCAAATGACACTCCTCTAATAAAGGACCTTAATTCAATGAGTGTCTTTTCATAGGTAGTAAAAGCAAATCGACATAATTCGATCTTCTTTTCGAAATCTTTTATTTCACAGTATATTTTAATATCAACCCATTACCATGTATATTGCTTAATATGATGGCATTCATTGTTACCCCCCCTCCCAGCTATAGTACCAGCTACTATTAAACATGTTGATGATAAACTGCATAACATATTCAGTTTTTTTAACCTCTTGTAGACTTTCCTATATAGCCAGAACTTCTTATGGTAGAATTTGTACAGTGGTGTTATTTCATCTATCTTATGCTCACCCAGGGATTTGTCTATATGATTGAGGTTTATAACGCTCCTCTGTTTGAAGCTCCTGTATAAAATGTTTATGTTAATCAGATATTTTTATCATTAATTGAGCATAAAGCCCACCATCGAGATTGCCATTATCCATACCGAATGATGTGGAATGATCAGCAAATGTACTCAATATTCCAGAAAATGAAATATCCATCCAGTTATTGTTTGTGTCTTGTGTAAATGCAGTGTATGGCTTAAGAATAGATCCGGAAGTATCATATCCTTTATAATAGAAATGTGTTGCAGGCCCCTTGTAACCATCTCAATAATGAAATTTATATGTTCCATCTACAATAAACGTTAATTTGTAACTTTGTGATGTGAAATGTGAATCATTGGAAACTCCATATTTTGATCTTGATGTTAAAAATTGGTTTTCTTTTCATTATCATGTCCCATTTCATAATAAAACTATACAAGTTCAAATCCCAATGTTATTGGTTGTTTAACACCATCCACAAATGATTTATTTGCAGCATCATTACCAT